TTATTTTAAGCTTACTATCAAGATTCACAGATATTTTTAGCTTTTAAAAACTATAATACTAAACAATGATATCCAAAGAAACTTCATTCTTAAATGTTAGAGCTGCCGGTGTAATATTCTGCTATATTTAGTATAGGCAGAACAACTGCATTTGAACGACAACAAAAATCAACAAATGTACAGACAGGTACGACTGCATGCTTCGGGTACATACAATAAACAGCTGTCATTTATTATACCCTATATTTGACCAATTTGTTCAGTTTTTTTGTACTTATTTAAGTATCGTTGTTTATTCTAATCATCTGTATATACAGCATACGTCATTGCAATTATTTTTTCTTGTTCTACTTACTTATTATACATATTTGCAACGCAGCTTTACCTCGCAGGTGACCACGGGACGTTTGCCTATATGTATTCACATTAAGACATTGACCACATTTACGCGTAAACAAGCATAATTACAAGTGAGATAGCATAGTAGTAAAACAGACATGATTCAGGTAAGGTCCTATAAAATATTGCAATAAACATTGCTTTCTAAATTTAAAGGGCTTAATATATTCATGCATATAGTTATACAGATTGAATTTAGTGTATTGTTATAATACTTAGACTCACATTTAAATATTCATGAAATTAACTATATTTTTCTGCGGACACTTTTGACATTGTAGTGTCTACTAATTTTATATATTGATTTTTCAGGTGATGTCTATAAAATAAAATAAAATCTAAAATTGGATCTTCATCTTTTTCGTCATCAGCTCGTAAAATTCTACAACTGGATATAAGCTTCTCTCATGCTAAAGAGGTTTTATTTTAATTATCACACATGGCAGGCACATTGACAACAGAGTAGTGGATCTCTTAGATCACCTACCTCTACACGGCGAATAATTAAAATATAAAATTGTGTGGTTAATACTAAAAACCAAGTATATATGTATGTACAGGAAATATGATGTAATCGTACTGTAATAATACATTTGTGCACCGTATACGAATATAGAGACGTTCGACTATCGTGTATAAAACAAACACCAGTTGATAATTAATAAAAATATCTGACGCATATTGGTAACCTGCTGATGGCACATCTTTTGGAACAATATTACAAAAGACACGACTATTGTCATTATTCATTTATACAAGAAACAGAATTTGATATTTTACTTTCCTTTCATTGAGCTTATAAAGTAAACAATGAATATTAAATATTACGAATTGGATTGTTAATTTCACAATAAAAAAGTAATTAAACACTGGAAATTAATAAAGATCAATTTATAAAATACATGATTTGTATCGAATTGAGTTATTACTTATTACGCATACACTGGATGCTATCGCGTTATTATAATTCAAGTAAAAAACACTCATTTAAAGGTCCAACGGACTGTAATTAGCTTTGTGGGTAAGCAATCCTTAAATTTCGTACGATTTGGATAATTACAAGAAAATTACAAAATTAAATTCGATATATCGAATCATCGAGTTAAAAATATACCTGACACCGAATTATGTTATGCAACACGCGGCAAAGTTCTAAAAAATAATGTAGCACGCACACCTACAAATTTTCAAAACGCCATTTTATTTGTAATGAGTAACATGGCAGCTAAAGAACATTCATAATGTCAAAAATCACTGCAAATGATAATCTTCGGTCTAATATTTTTAAGTGATAAGATATTAAAATTAAATTACCTGTCGATTATAATATTTCTTAACCATCATCTGTCGTCTCCTTCATTTTTTAACTTTCGTCTCGTAATTATTAGGGCTGCGAGAATGTTCTTTTGATGTTTCTGTTTATAACTAAACTAAGTACTCTTATTACTGAATTACGAGTTCAATAAGACGACATTAACTCTGAAAAGTGTTACATTTCATAAATTCCATACTAGATTGTATCGAATTTATGAAATGGTTGATTTTGTGAACACGGTTGATTTTGTGAAAGTATGTTAAAATTGTCGTATTACGTAAATTTATATTTGCATTATGGGACACAAAACTACATGGGGATTACCGTGACAGCTAAATAGTTTATAAAATTACACTCTCAATTTAAAGCAACATACAAATGGCTGAATAGCAGAATACGAGTCTCGAATGGAAATGGTACAGCCATGCTGCTAGCTGCATTAGTAGTATAGTTGGAGCACGAATGGGTCAGCTCGACCGGGAAGGGACGACGCTCTAACGGAATACCAGCGTAAGATAGCAGCTTAACGCTGCTGTACCATACGTTATACGAAATGGCCAGTGTAGAGAACCGGAGACGCTTTGTACTGGAAAGGAAGCATTCCATCTTAGTCCTCACGGGGACAACGCATTTGCATACTGATTCGTAACCGAGGATAGATGTATGTCTATGGGCCACAGCAACCACTTATATAATATATACCATCAGGTGAACTGTGTGCTCCTTTGTCACCCTTCTCCTATAAAAAGAAAACATAAGTAGGACGGCCGTTATCTAAATTACCGATGGCGCAAAAAACTTCAACATCCCCGGACAAAAGATTGATTTACAATTAATATAATAAATTGTAAATCAAGTTGGGCTAAATATTTAGGTCCTGCAAATGAGAAGTAAGTTCGAAATATAACTAGGTCAAGTTACTTTTTAATTATTTAAAACGATGTCTTATTTTGCTATTTTTCACTCTAAAATAATGTAGCACGCACACCTACAAATTTTCAAAACGCCATTTTATTTGTAATGAGTAACATGGCAGCTAAAGAACATTCATAATGTCAAAAATCACTGCAAATGATAATCTTCGGTCTAATATTTTTAAGTGATAAGATATTAAAATTAAATTACCTGTCGATTATAATATTTCTTAACCATCATCTGTCGTCTCCTTCATTTTTTAACTTTCGTCTCGTAATTATTAGGGCTGCGAGAATGTTCTTTTGATGTTTCCAAAACTTAGGTAATCGTTACATAAAATATTAGACAACCAATAGATACATTTGCTGGTTATCTTTTTGACCAGATTATAAAAAATGGGTAGTCGTCGAGTTGATCTAGTTATGGTAGACGGATATTTGATAAAAATGTTTTTTTTTTTATAGGATAGGATGACAAACGAGCACACAGTCCACCCGATGGCAAGTGGTTGCTGTGGCCCATAGACATCTACATCTATCCTCGACCACGAATCGAAATGCAGATGCGTTGTCATCCGTGAGGACCTAGGTGGAATGCCTCGTTTCCAGTAAAAAGGGTCTCCGGTTCTCTACACTCACCATACGAAACACAGCAGCATTAAGCCAATATTTGACGCTGGTATTCTGTGAGAGCGTGGTCCTTCCCCGATCGAGCCGACCCATTCGTGCTACAACTATACTACTAATATAACTGCTGCATGGCTCTATCAGGTAAAATGTGTGGCATAATCGCAACATAAATTTATAGTAGGTAGAGAGATAATTTAATCATATTCGTTATGGGAAGCCATCATCGTGCAGGTCATACGATCCATCTGGCGACAGCCTATTAAGCCACAACGTACTTCGCTCGAATGTGGTTATTATTTACAAAGATGAGTCCGTTATCTGATAGAGGTAATAGAATGCTTGCTTAATGTGTTTTGTGTACACCAGGGAGATTATCAACGAGCGAGGCTTAGAATTACACTACACTATATTACGTTTATGCAGACATGTTTGAGGACTCACATGACAGTTATATTAATCGACCAAGTTGGACGAGGTTTTAATGTCAACGTATTTTAAGGCGACATGTCGAGTGCAAACACTATTTAAAATATTGAATTACAATCCCATGTGATGCAAATGCAAACAGGTAATGGAAAAAGTACTTAGCATTCATCACGTTATTGTAAATGCGTACGCGCACGATTCAGGCTCACGAAACTGATCCCTTCGGAATTATAATGGCTATTATTAAAAAAGGACCCGCTTTAAGATATTGTTTAAATAAAAAAAAACACGCAAATGACTAAAAGGTTTTTAAAAGTGTTGTTTTATTTTTCGTTTACATTATTCGATCACATGTGAGTTTTAAGTCCTTCGAGCCGTGTTGGCTCAAATGGTTATCCTTCGCTATAAATTTCTCAGTGCGCGAGCAAACCGGGTTCAAAACCCGCCGGCACCGTTGAAATTGTTAATTGCAATTTTAAGTGCTGATTTACCATGTGCTCGGCGTCGAAGGAAATCATCGCGAGGAAATCTGCATCTCTGAGAAATAAGAAAAAAAATATTTTGAAGACAACGTGAAGTTCGTCTAGACGCATTGGGACAGCGCGGCGAAAACTTCGAAATGAAGGTAAGCCTGTGCCCAGCAGTGAGACGTGAAAAAGGCTGTAATTTTTTAAATCCTTAAAGCCTGTTTTAGCCTGAAATGGTTTCTTATGTTTACGTGAACACTACAAATTGATAAAAACTACTTTTGCGGATTTTATCTCGTTTCATATATAATATGATTTTTAATTCCCGTTTCGGGTGGTTTCCAGCGCCCATGGTCATGGGGGATTGAAACGACTGACGTCCCGATGTCAATGTTAACCGGAGTACCTTCAGATTTTTAATTATTATTTATGGTCCGATCTATAGAAACGTCGGGAATTAAAATCATATATCAAACGCGATAAAATCCGTAAAAGTAGTTTTAATCAACCTGTTCATGTAATTGTGGATGCAATTTGAACATTGTGCATATTTTATAAGGAAAACTATGGCCGTCTATATTTTATCCAGTGCTAATCATGTTATGTTAATCCAGTGCTTGACTGGTAGTAAGTGGTGATGAAACCTTACATAGTAAAGCTTAGCGCAACAAAAGCCAATTCACTCATTCACCAATAACTTAAAGAAAAATATTTCAGTAAAAAGGTAAAATTAAAATCTAATTTGAGATCCGCTACACCATACAATTACTTTGAAAAAAAAAATGATAATATAATGATAGCTTACGGCTTAAGTAAGGGACATAAGGGGCCGGCACAAAAAGAACTTACATGCATGATGGTCACTAGCACGAGAACATCACGTCTGGTGTTACGGGTTTGGATTGTTTATGTTTACTAAAGTTATCCGGGTCGGTGCACTAGCGAGTGGTGCGTCCACGCGCGCTACGCGATGAGGACTGGTGGTAGACGCGGCGAGTGCGTCCGCGCAAAGCCTGCGCTGCTATGGCACGCGCTCGCGCGCGCACTTTTCGATTTCAATATATTATGTTATGTATATAGATTCGTTATAATATATTATGCTCTTAAAGGACCTAATAGCCGTGACAAACAAATAGATTCCATCAGAAATGTTCGAAGCAAAAAAGTTTGAGTTGAAAATGTATTTATCCTTTTTTGAATCATAAGCTTTGCTTGAAAGAAAAAATATACACTTATTTTTACACTATAGAAGGAACTTTAACGTCAAAATATAGACTTATAAATTATAAGTGTGAAGATAGTATAGTATAGATATAAAAAAATATTCTAGCAAAATATGTAGTCTTATTACTGGTAATGACATTTGAAAAAAGTTATCAAAAACCTCTTTCTTTTATAAATTGTTACTGTTTTTAATATTTTTTCTGGTTCTCTGGCTCAGGGAATAAACTAAAATTTCATGGTAGTTTCATGAAAAATTAGTCGTTAATTGTAATTTTTATGTGCTGATTTAGCCTATGAAAAATAAAAAATAGATATGTCGAGGACATACGAAGTCCGGAAACAATCTTTGGGGCTGTGCGGCTGACTCTTACCAGCTGCAAAACCTCAAAAATTGTATTTTTACCGTATGGTAATTTATGTCTACACAATAATTATTGTAATTTTTACAATTATTGTGTAGACATACTCAAAAGTAACCACTTCACCTATCTTGAGTATGTCTACACACACATACGTATTTCTATATTATTATTATTGTTACTTTTTATATTGATCACATTGTTCAGCGCTGTTTTTTTTATTTGGTAAAGTCATACTAATAAGTAATTTTCCAATTTGCAGTCAAAGTACATAGTATCCACAGTCTCCACGCGTAATACGCCAAAAATGGATAATAATCATACCAATAAAAATTACTGGTCTGATTGCTTAAATTTAGTTAAAGGAAAAAGATACTTTGTGATTCATAGCCTCAGATCGAACAGGAACTTAAATAAGTGATTGATAGCAGCTTGATTGTGTACGTACTAAAACTATTATTGCACAGCGGAAGTTTGTGGAGTCATTTTTAGAAAAATCTCAATAATAATAAGTTATGGAAAACTCCGAAGAAAAAGTTGTTATGACGCCCAAGTGTAAAACACCAACATCGACTACCATAGTTGTAGAAAGAAAGGTTGTTGATACCGAACCGAGTGATAAAATACACATTGCTGGTGGTGATCACACTGGAATCATTATAAACAAGGAAAAAGTTTATGGTGAGACAAACTTTCTATTTCTTCGCAAAGAATAAAATAATCAGCTCTCGTTTTATAAAAATTGAACAAGGCATCATGGTCTATTGCATTTTAAATTAGGTATTGATTTATGATAGCATGAGACAAAACAAACTCAACATTTTGACTGCCAAGTCTTCATATAATAATCATCTATTCTAAAATAGAGTAGCTTTAAAAGCATAAATTAATAGAATTGCAACTCGATTCCATTGAAAGTTAATTAAAATAGCGGTACGAAATAGTAAAAAGTTTGTAAAGAGCAATAAATTGTATTAAACATTATAGTATTTGCATAATTTTACTGCAATATAACTAAACTAAGTACTCTTATTACTGAATTACGAGTTCAATAAGACGACATTAACTCTGAAAAGTGTTACATTTCATAAATTCGATACTAGATTGTATCGAATTTATGAAATGGGTTGATTTTGTGAAAGTATGTTAAAATTGTCGTATTACGTAAATTTATATTTGCATTATGGGACACAAAACTACATGGGGATTACCGTGACAGCTAAATAGTTTATAAAATTACACTCTCAATTTAAAGCAACATACAAATGGCTGAATAGCAGAATACGAGTCTCGAATGGAAATGGTAGAGCCATGCTGCTAGCTGCATTAGTAGTATAGTTGGAGCAGGAATGGGTCGGCTCGACCTGGAAGGGACCACGCTCCAACGGAATACCAGCGTAAGATAGCAGCTTAACGCTGCTGTACCATACATTATACGAAATGGCGAGTGTAGAGAACCGGACCGCTTTGTACTGGAAAGGAAGCATTCCATCTTAGTCCTCACGGGGACAACGCATTTGCATTCTGATTCGTAACCGAGGATTGATGTATGTCTATGGGCCACAGCAACCACTTATATAATACCATCAGGTGAACTGTGTGCTCCTTTGTCACCCTTCTCCTATAAAAAGAAAACATAAGTAGGACGGCCATTATCTAAATTACCGATGGCGCAAAAAACTTCAACATCCCTGGACAAAAGATTGATTTACAATTAATATAATAAATTGTAAATCAATTTGGGCTAAATATTTAGGTCCTGCAAATGAGAAGTAAGTTCGAAATATAACTAGGTCAAGTTATTTTTTAATTATTTAAAACGATGTCTTATTTTGCTATTTTTCACTCTTCACAATTTTTGATAAAATGGCTTTCTTTTTCCTAAGAGGAATTTGTGAAAGTTTGTTTTAAAATTGTGTTCATTTATTGATTATTACTTAATTGGCGGGGCCCACTCTCATAAAAAATAATCTTTTCTAAGCACCTATCGGATAGCTCCCGTATTAGTAAGCTAGAGTGGCAATGGGCCGGCGATATAGCTTGAAGAACCGACAACCGATGGGGAAGAGAGGTTCTCGAGTGCATAGACCAAGTATATATAGGGCACTCGAAAGGTAGCCTCTTACCGGTAGACGAAGTGTAGGGCAACCCCCCACTAGATAGAGTGACGACCTAGTAAGACATGCAGGAAGTCGAAGAGTGCGAGTGGCTCAGGACCGTGCTTTGTAGTATTCTTGGTAAAAGTTGGTGATGATGATCGGCTAGCTCCTGGTCCCAAGGTAAGTAAAATCCGGGGTTACTCGGACGCACGGTAGCCCTACCCAAGTCTTACGGAAAATAGAGTCCATTAAAAGTCTTACTCCATCTACTCTTTTATATTCATTTGACTGGCCATTCCTCTGTATGAGTACCGTATAAAGTATATCATTGCCAACGAGGTAAAAATTACATTAGCTATATACAACTTCTTGTAAGCATGATTCATAATAGCGATTTATATTAACGAATAATTTATTTAATAGAAAACAGAACTGTTATATAATATAACGTGTCATCGACAATATATTAAAAATTAATTGTGTAGCATGTTTTGTAGTACATATTTTATCAAAATGTTAAAATGTCGACAGTAACCATAACAATTAAAGCAAGATTTGTCTTAATGTAGCTAGGTTAGGTCAGTGACCCTAGCTCTGTTTAGTGATTTAGGGTATTAATACATTACAAACAAAATGCCCGTTACATCAGTCCGCAATGCAGGATCCTTGTGAATGTCAATACGTTCATAAATCATTCGTGTAATACTTCAACAATATAATAGGTATATTATAATCGCGAATGAATCGTGATCGGAGATTGCTGTGGAGCGAGACACGCGAGCGAGGTATTGCACGCAGTATTGAAAAGTGGAGTATGTCATGTGCCTTATCAATCAAATATGCTCCAGAGATCCATCACGCCACCTAAAGCCGCTTGATTACAGCACAATCGGCAGCGCCATAGATCAAAAGGATGTAATAATAACGGAAGCGATACGCGCATTTGCACGCTGATTAACCGATACAAAAATCACGCTCGATAAACCCGAACCCGTATCGATTTACATAATGCCAGAAGTCTTTAATCTCGCCACTAGCTTACTTGGTGACGAAACTTCCGACAGCTTGCGACATCAATACTACATATTGGGCTATTCGGGTGTCTACCGTTGGATAACTTATTATGTAACGAGCTTATTAATACATATAAAACATGTTTTGGGGAATATAAAACACACGTGATTCCACAATAGATAAATTTATATACAACAATTTGCGCTCCACTTTAGAGTTTTCAAACAAAAAACGCCACGTTTAATTTCAAGAAGATACTATTTACTTCGAGGCAGTAGATCCATGACACGGGCGTTTAAGGATATCGTGTCTTATGTAGCTTACATAGTTTTAAGTTTTTAAGTTGACACACTAGCTATGAAATATTTTTTTAGTTGCGATACTGCGACTGCGCCCGGATAGGTACTATTAATTTATATTAAATATATTATTGAAAGACCATTTATTTTGTAATAATTCTTTTGCAATTTTTTTTACACAAAAAGCTACGTTTTTCGGATAAATTATAGCGTAGATCCCTCCTGGCATTGCACTCAAAGTGTTCATAAAGTTTCATTACGATCGGTTTAACCACCCCGAAGATTAGCCCGGAAAGAGAGATTCAGACAGAACAATAAAATAAATAAAAATGGTTGTTTATGTCCAAATACTATGCAAATAACCCCTGAGCTTCACAGAAACTAGTTATTTCAATATAACAAACAAACACTGATTTCAAAATACATTAATATAACTTAAAACGATGTAAAAAGCTATATACAACTTCTTGTAAGTATGATTCATAATAGCAATTTATATTAACGAATAATTTATTTCTGTTGCATATATAACTGTTATATAATATAACGTGTTATCGACAATATATTAAAAATTAATTGTGTAGCATGTTTTATGGTACATATTTTATCAAAATGTTAAAATGACGACAGTAACCATAACAATTAAAGCAAGAATTGTCTTAATGTAGCTAGGTTAGGTCAGTGACCACTAGCTCTGTTAACTTAAAACGTAAAAAACATTGTTTACACACACAACACAAATATTGCTGCGAAATTACTTTATTTGTTGGGTTTGATTTAATGCTAAATGAGGCCATTGTAAAAGTGTACAGCAAAGCTTTACGAGTAACACTGTATTCAACCTAAATGATCAAATTGAAACAGTAAAGCTGTTGTTTCTTCGGCAGAGTAACCTGAATTCATCGACCCGTCTATGTCTGATTAAATTGAACCAGTTAAATTATATCATTGGACGTCTGTCGTCAGTAATTTGATTACAGTCGCGTCATGCCGCAGATGCCAACGCCCAATTATGAAACATAAATAGTATAGTTTGTTTAAATGTGAAAGTTATCCGTATTTATTTCTAATTAATAAATTTCGTTCGTTTCGTTTTTAAACATTAAGTATTCACACTAGGATTTACTTCTGTATCGTGGGGCAATTTCATTAATAAATTTCACAAGGTCGAACATCCAAACACGGAACAATTAGTTGTAAACCATAACAAATACTTGTTCTGTGCGGGATTTATTTATACCAGTCCAATAGCTTAATGCTGCTGTGTTTTGTATGGTCACTGTAGAGATCCGGAGACCCTTTTTACTGGAAACGAGGCATTACACCTAAGTCCTCACGGATGACAACGCATCTGCATTTTGATTCGTAATCGAGGATAGATGTAGATGTCTATGGGCCACGGCAACCACTTACCATCACTTACTCGTTTGTCATCATATCCTATAAAAAAAAAACATTCGAACCCGCGGCCCCCAGCTCTGCTACTCATTGCTAAGCCGTTCCGCCACGGAGCCGTCAATAAACAATTAAAAATATTTAGTTATACTTATTATATGCTATTGTGATTATAATGTGAATAAAAACAAGATAGATGTTAAAGAATTTTTTAATGTTACTGTTACGTTACGTTACTGTTACGTTACGTTACGTTAACAGTCGGTTGAGATATTATGTAAAAGTCCACAATTGGACACGCGCCTCTCCCGTAGTAGGGAGGATCCAAATCCTCCGGAAGCGATGCGCACAGCTACGCACTGCGATCATGAAATACTCGCTACGCATGGAGACGGATTGTCGGACGCAGTGCGTAACACTCCTGTATCGCAGGCGTCTCACACCTACTTCCATTCTTCCCGTCGATGGTCTAGGTGTTTTACGTCTGGTGTATTATTATATTCCATAGTCGCATCTTACACTCACAGGACGAAATGAGGTGATGGATTATCCTAAGCCTCCATCACACGGAGAAAATTGTTTATGAAATAAACTATAATTTGAGATTGATATCAATTACATCGAAATATTATATTACGGATGATTCTGGCTGATTACAATTTTCACAAGTGAACGAAATCTTCAGCGAACATTATATTTAAAAAAGTTAAATCCTATTACCTTTAAACGAGAAATTCTGCATACATGTATATATATAAAAGCGGGATCTCGAAAACGGCTCCAACGATTTTCATAAAATATAGTGTCTCGAGGGTTTCGGGGGCAATAAATCTATCTAGCTAGGATTCATTTCTAGAAAATATCGTTTTGTCCGTGTTTTCAGACAGTAAAAAACTGCTACATCTTATA